TAACATAGGACCTCGCCGCACCACTCACCAACAATTTGAATGCATTGGGACCTGTTGGAGTCCGCATACATTCAAAGTGGTGGCCTTTGGCGAGTGAAGCGGTGAGAGGCCCATAGTGCGCAAAGATCCTCTTTACACAAAAGCTAGTTCAAAATATCAAAAGTGTCGGCCTTCATCTTGCAATCATGTTGGAATCCATTGGATACATCAGCCTTTTTTCCTAGGTACCTGATCGGACGTCCAGGACACCCTTGACCGTCCGGGTTGTCCGTTCGGACAACCTCAAGAGCAAAGTGCACCGTTGGCACGCTGGCCCTGTTGGGGCATCGGAACAATAGAGCAAAAGTCTGGCCACCTTCGAGCAAAACGACTGAAGGAAAAAAAGAAACCAAAAAAAAAAAAAGCTTAAGCCACTAGTACTTCGCCCATACATCGGCCGCGATGAAAAATAAGGCCCTGACGTTTTCCGCTTGAATGGATTTACACCGGAGCCGCCAGGCCCATTTGACCCGGTGCGTCGCGGCTCGCGACTTTCGGAAGTATCGGTGGTCTACGCGTGCAGGGCTTAGCTCTAGGATAGGGTAGGGATATAAGTCGCTCCGGCTAGTCTGAGTTCCGCCTAGCCTTGGGTAAGCTAGGGGAAGGACGGTAGGATGTGTCCGCGGGTGCTGGCCTGCCGTGCTTAGGTAATCCTGCTGGGTAGACTCTCTGAATTGGACCTGTAGAAGATTGCATGAGCCTGTCCGAAGTTCCTGTACGGCAAGGTTCGTCAGCTTTCGCTTCCATTAGGGCTGGGAGTTTGGCCCAGCCCTGGTGCTTGTCACTGCTGTCTGGTCCAAGTTGCCCTCAATACTGGTAGGGTGATGGTCCTGAGTGCTGGTCACACTGAGGTAGGATAGTAGGGACAGGGGGTGCACTGGGAGTATTAACGTGGGAATGGGTAGGGTAGGTGGCCTATCCTGTCAGGACAACCATTGGCTGCCGCTACCAGCAATCAGTGTGGGTCTGGTCCTTGGCCTCTACAACACCCTGGGCTTTCCAAAAGAAAGAAAAATGCGAGGCTACGCCCGCTTAGCCCCTACGGGCCTTATTTGCAGCAAGGTCGGCCGCCCTAAGTGAAGGCAGGCACGACAGGCCCTCAGGGCCTCGTTTTCAGGGTACCCCGCAAATGGGGAAATTCAGGCAGTTACACAGCATCAGTTGGTTGAATGAACTCACGCCCTGGGCCGCCTGTGTGAATGAATGTAAAGCAGGCCCTGGGCTGGGTACGGGTACCGGGCCAAGCACAGGCCGAAAGCAGTTGGGTGTATGCAACTACCTCAGGCCCACTGCCTGCATTCTTCGTGACTGGGCCTCAGGCTACCGGGGCCTACTGGAAGCTTCCTGGACTGGACGCAGGCAGGCCACTTCGATATAGGGAAGGGCCTGCCTCCTCATTCGACATTCGGGTGCTGGCTGCATGCTGCGACAGCACTGCTGCGCTATTTGCTGGCTGGCGCCCTCGCACTCACGGGCGAGTGAGGAAGAAGCAGGCAGCCATAGCCACGCTGCCTGCTGTTTGCTAGGTGGGGCGCTGGGTGGTCCTTGGGTGCTAGAGGCATCTGTGTGGTAAGGATCGGGGTTGAGAGCAAAGTGGGAGACATACCTGGTGCTTGAGACGAGCGGCATTGGCCGCATATGCTCGTACTTCGGTGAAGCTGTTGACGTCAACTTCGGCATTGTAGTAGTAGGCTAGATAGGACCTGCCATCTTGTGGTCTGGGCGCCGAGCGCCAGTAGGATATCAACTCTTGTTCTTTGTTGATGATGATGGGAGACAACTTCAGCATTGTCAATCACGAACTATTGCTGTGTTCTTATTGGGTGAAACTCGTGATGCCATTCTGCTTATGGTTCGAGGTCATGGCTATCTGGTAACTTATGTATAATGCTGTTTGCGTTCTGGAGTTCGCTATTGCTCATCTTCCTTGCAAAAAAAAGAAAAGGAAAGAAAAAAAAGAAAAGGAAAGAAAAAGGAGGAAAAGAAGAACCGCCAGAAGAGAACACCTCAAAAAATATTCATTTCCATCCAATTCCATTCAAAAGATAGTTAACAGAGGGTTATGCAGAAAAATAAACTGAACAACTTTTGCCTTGGGATGACATCGAAATTCAGAAAATTAAAGTCACCCTCAATTGTTTTTTCTTTTTTCATGCTTTCAATTGCTAAAAAGGGTTTTGGTCCCACTAGCAAAAAGGATAGGATAGAGCTCCTGAATCTGGATGTGTTTTAAGCACAGATGCAGAAAAGCAGTTCAATCTCGATTTCCTGCACATCTCCATAAACTCGTCCAGATGCAGGCATTCGATCCGATCCTCTTTGCTAGTTGGACCACGCCCCTGGTAACATAGCTTTTTTCTTTCTTCTTTTTTTCAATACTTGTAACATCCATTGGGCTGCGCGCAAACCAAAGTACAGCCAGTCTGTGCAAAGTTTGCATTAAAAAAGCTCTTTTGGGGGGAAGGGGCGGGGAGGGGGCACGTTTTTTGCCTTTTTTTTCTTCCCTTTTGGCTGCTGGTTTGTTTGGTGTCCACTTTATGGATTCGTGGCAAGTCTGGTAAAAAAGGTCTTAGGTTGTTAGTTACTTTTTAGTATTTACTGTTTTTTTTTTTTTTTTTTTGTTAAAGAAGCAACTAGAAGTTGCTGAAAAACAATGGGTCCGAAATTTTGGGACATCCGTTAAAAATGGAACGATACAGAGAAGATTGCATGGCCCCTGCACAATGATGACTCGCATAAATCGAGAAATGGTCTGAAAAACAGCGGGTCTATAAAAAAACAAAAAAAAACGGAGGGTCTGTTAACCATCTTTTGAATGGAATTGGATGGAAATGAATCTTTTCTGAGGTGTTCTCTTTTGGCAGTTCTTCTTTTCCTCCTTAGATCGGCAATACTTCCGAAAGTCGCGAGCCGCGACGCACCGGTTCAAACGGGCCTGGCGGCTCCGGTGCAAATCCATTCGAGTGGAAAACGTCACGGCCCTATTTTTCATTGCGGCTGATGTATGGGCGAAGTACTGGTGGTTTAAGCAATATTTTTTGGTTCTTTTTTTTCCTCCAGGCGGTTTGCTCGAAGGTGGCCAGACTTTCGCTGTATTGTTCCGATGCCTCGACAGGGCCAGCGTGCCAACGGTGCACTTTGCTCTTGCGCCTCACAAGGCTTTTGTGAAGGCACCCCAATGCCAGCAACGTTAAACCACCAGCACTTGGCCCAGCTATCCAGCGCGGGAAAAAACAATAAGTGGAAACGTTTCTAGTCGGATGAATTTGGGCGCTCCTGTAGTGGCCTGTACGTTTCCTAAAGTTGTGGCTTGTTAACGGGCACAACTTTAGGAAGTCCTGGTGGTTTAAACCACCAGCCCCTTTCCCAGTTATTTTGTGCCGACTCGGCAGTTAACCCACCCCATAGTTGGGGGCTCGGCCTACCAGAAGGAAAAGGCTGGCGGCACCAGGCAAAAAGAAAATATTTAGCTCCCCACAGTCGGCCTACCAGAAGGAAAAGGCTGGCGGCACCAGGCAAAAAAAAAGAAAATATTTAGCTCCCACGCCAATTCATATTTCTTTGGCGTGCAGTGGAAATCCAGGTCAGGAAAAAGAGGCTTGGATGGGCTGGTGGTTTGAGTGACTGGTGGTTTAAACCACCAGTACTTCTTGGCCCAGCTATTGGGTTTGCAACTTTGCACTTTTCTGTTATTCCATTTTTTTGGGTTGCACTTACTTTTCTGCAGCCGGAAACACATTTCTGCAGTTTCTGTTTTCGGCCTCACTTTTCTCCAATGTGCAGTTTTTTTTGCGAGGCCGGAACTGAAACGACACTTTCCGGAAGTTATCCCAGGACTTATTTGATAAAGGGCCTTGCCGCACGGTGCAAGAAACAAAAAAAAAAAAACGACTTCGTTTCGTGAAGTCGTCGCCGCATAGCACCCACACGAACTGTCTCAGAAAAAACTCATGAATGCTGTCAGTCTCCAAGTTCGCGAGGCCTCACGAGTGTGTCGACTCCTCCCTGCCTGCAGCCCTCGCGAACTCGTAGGTCCTCCCGAGGCCGGTCGAGGAGCTGCGAGTCGGCACGAGTCTGGGAAGTCCGTCCAAACGGATGCATCCAAAATTTTGGACCTTTGCGTGTGCCAGAACTCGCGACCCAAACGAGGAACCACGCGAGTCCTCACGACCGTGCATCTCCACACCACTCTCGAAATATGAAAAATGAGAACGAACAATTTTGTGGAACACGGGTAGATGCACCCGGCACATTTTTGTGGAACACGGGTAGGCCCGTATTGTACCTTTGTGGAGAAAATGCCCACCGCCGCACAGCACACACGAAATGCACACGAATCCCACCAGGTCGCTACCGTGAGACAGTTCGTGTGTGCTGTGCGGCGGTGACGCCAGAAACGAAACGAAACGATGATTTCGGTCCTCGCGAAGCCCCGCGAGTTCGACGCTCGTTTCGTTTCGTTTTTGGTGCCGTCCGGCGAGCCCCGAAGGCATTCCATTTTTGCCTTCCCTTATCTGAAATGGATCTGCTGCAGCATTGATTATGTTAGAAGAAAAAGAAAAAAAAAGGATCTGCTGCAGCATTGCGTATGTACCGCTCAGAAGGAAGAAGAAAGGAAGGTGCAAAGCAATACAAGTACACAGTAAACAGTTCTATTGGGCCTCGCTCCACTACTCAACACTCCACTATTCAGCATCCCACATACACTTGGACGCTTATGTGGACTAGGTGCATTGAGAGGAGTCCAACGTTTGGAACGGATCGGGACGATTACGACCTCCAGATACATAACGAGTGTTGGGTAGTGGAGCACGGCCCATTCTCTCGGCTTATCCAATCAAGCAGCTCGTTTGAATCTTTCCTCTGCATGATTCATGGAAAATGAACAACAGGTTGAGTCTACTGGTGCTATTTGAAATTTTAAACTATTTTACGTCTGTGCTATTTTTGGCCTTTGGCAGGTCGATTCTGGAAGCATGCAATCAAGGGAGGTGTGGACAGGTGTCACTTATGGAGTGGCTGCGGCGATGATTTACGCGGTAAGCACTAGCGAACTCCATTTTCCTAATGGTCTACGAGAAATCTTGAACCACAAACACTGTAGTAATCTGTATATACTAAACTATATAGCATATAGCATATACCATGTAGCCAAAACTTGAGAGGAATCCAGCGGCCTAGCTCAGTTGGTAAGGCACGCAAGTGGCATTCAGGAGGTCTTGGGTTCAATCCCCATTGGTCTCATGTACCTTCCTGGGCAAGCTTGGCGCCCGCCACCTAGAGATATGCCGTTGGTCCCCCCGAGTGGCATTGAGCAGAGACTGCTGATGTTCATAGGGGGAGGGGACCGGAGGGGAGGCACAGTGACTGGCCCATTGAAGAAGCTCGGTCCTGATGCTACCGGCTTGACCCCTGGCCGGTATCGCCCACCTGCTGTAGCAGGTATCGCACCTGCTGGTGGGTGCAGCGCCCGCATGTTCCCTCGTTGGAGGCTTGAGCACGGATGTGGCTGCTACGGGGTTACCCGTAATACTATAATGACAATAAAAAAGGCCTGAAAGGCCGTCCTGTGCAGATTTGACAGGTATTGAATTGGTTGGGCTTAAAAGAATTAGCCTTTATAAAAATAAAATAAAAAAAACTTGAGAGGAAAATTTGGCACACGGCTTTGCCATGGTTTTTTGGAAAAGGAAAAAAAAAAAGGGCGACGGCCTTGGGATATGTTCATTGATAGAACCGGCCCTAGGTAATTCAGAATGATTTGTTCCATTCGTCAAGGTGGAGCAGGATTTGAACTCAGGTCTGTATTTCAAAAATTTCAACGGTTCATGGGTGTACCCGCGGAGCTAGGCTCGTTGGTGCTTTTCCGTGGTTTTCGTCTTTAGCCTAAAAACTTGGTAAAAAGCAAAACTCGTCCCAATTTGGCACGTGTCTTCTTCCCTTTTTTTTCTTTTTTTTTTCTTTCCTTTTTTTATTATGTTCGCATTCTTTCCCAAGCAACCCCGACCACAGCTCTTTCGGTAAGGCAGGTTTCAACAATGGGACTCGCTGCACTACTCTTGAAATGCACACAAGACAAAAATCATGGCCGTGTATCTTTCCATATTCTAGCGGAAGATTCACTCTCGTTTTGCACATTTTGAGAGTCATGCAGCGAGGCCCAATGCAGTGAATTTTCTGGTACCTCCACCGCCAACATCCGACTGTGCCAGGCAGCTCTTTTTTTTTTTTTTTTTTT